TCTGCAGCTACCCACATTGTATAACGAGTGTGAGAGTCTGCAGCTACCCACCTGGTATGAGTGTGAGAGTCTGCAGCCACCCACCTGGTTTAACGAGTGTGAGAGTCTGCAGCTACCCACCTGGTATAAGGAGTGTGAGAGTCTGCAGCTACCCACCTTGTATAACGATTGTGAGAGTCTGCAGCTACCCACCTGGTTTAACGAGTGTGAGAGTCTGCAGCCACCCACCTGGTATAACGAGTGTGAGAGTCTGCAGCTACCCACCTGGTATGAGTGTGAGAGTCTGCAGCTACCCACCTGGTATAACGAGTGTGAGAGTCTGCAGCCACCCACCTGGTTTAACGAGTGTGAGAGTCTGCAGCTACCCACCTGGTATAAGGAGTGTGAGAGTCTGCAGCTACCCACCTTGTATAACGATTGTGAGAGTCTGCAGCCACCCACCTGGTATAACGAGTGTGAGAGTCTGCAGCCGCCCACCTGGTATGAGTGTGAGAGTCTGCAGCTTCCCACCTGGTATGAGTGTGAGAGTCTGCAGCCACCCACCTTGTATAACGATTGTGAGAGTCTGCAGCTACCCACCTGGTATAACGAGTGTGAGAGTCTGCAGCCGCCCACATTGTATAACGAGTGTGAGAGTCTGCAGCCACCCACCTGGTATAAGGAGTGTGAGAGTCTGCAGCTACCCACCTGGTATAACGAGTGTGAGAGTCTGCAGCCGCCCACATTGTATAACGAGTGTGAGAGTCTGCAGCCACCCACCTTGTATAACGATTGTGAGAGTCTGCAGCTACCCACCTGGTATAACGAGTGTGAGAGTCTGCAGCCGCCCACATTGTATAACGAGTGTGAGAGTCTGCAGCCACCCACCTTGTATAACGATTGTGAGAGTCTGCAGCTACCCACCTGGTATAACGAGTGTGAGAGTCTGCAGCCGCCCACATTGTATAACGAGTGTGAGAGTCTGCAGCCACCCACCTGGTATAAGGAGTGTGAGAGTCTGCAGCTACCCACCTTGTATAACGATTGTGAGAGTCTGCAGCTACCCACCTGGTATAACGAGTGTGAGAGTCTGCAGCCGCCCACATTGTATAACGAGTGTGAGAGTCTGCAGCCGCCCACCTGGTATAACGAGTGTGAGAGTCTGCAGCTACCCACCTGGTATAAGGAGTGTGAGAGTCTGCAGCCGCCCACCTGGTATGAGTGTGAGAGTCTGCAGCTACCCACCTGGTATAAGGAGTGTGAGAGTCTGCAGCCACCCACCTGGTATAAGGAGTGTGAGAGTCTGCAGCTACCCACCTGGTATAAGGAGTGTGAGAGTCTGCAGCCGCCCACCTGGTATAAGGAGTGTGAGAGTCTGCAGCCGCCCACCTGGTATAAGGAGTGTGAGAGTCTGCAGCCGCCCACCTGGTAAAACGATTGTGAGAGTCTGCAGCCGCCCACATTGTATAACGAGTGTGAGAGTCTGCAGCCACCCACCTGGTATAAGGAGTGTGAGAGTCTGCAGCCACCCACCTGGTATAACGAGTGTGAGAGTCTGCAGCTACCCACCTGGTATAAGGAGTGTGAGAGTCTGCAGCCGCCCACCTGGTATAAGGAGTGTGAGAGTCTGCAGCCGCCCACATTGTATAACGAGTGTGAGAGTCTGCAGCCGCCCACCTGGTACGAGTGTGAGAGTCTGCAGCTACCCACATTGTATAACGAGTGTGAGAGTCTGCAGCCGCCCACATTGTATAACGAGTGTGAGAGTCTGCAGCCACCCACCTGGTATAAGGAGTGTGAGAGTCTGCAGCCACCCACCTGGTATAACGAGTGTGAGAGTCTGCAGCCGCCCACCTGGTATAAGGAGTGTGAGAGTCTGCAGCCGCCCACCTGGTATAAGGAGTGTGAGAGTCTGCAGCTACCCACCTTGTATAACGAGTGTGAGAGTCTGCAGCCACCCACCTGGTATAAGGAGTGTGAGAGTCTGCAGCCACCCACCTGGTATAACGAGTGTGAGAGTCTGCAGCTACCCACCTGGTATAAGGAGTGTGAGAGTCTGCAGCCGCCCACCTGGTATAAGGAGTGTGAGAGTCTGCAGCCGCCCACATTGTATAACGAGTGTGAGAGTCTGCAGCCGCCCACCTGGTATGAGTGTGAGAGTCTGCAGCTACCCACATTGTATAACGAGTGTGAGAGTCTGCAGCCGCCCACCTGGTATAACGAGTGTGAGAGTCTGCAGCTACCCACCTGGTATAAGGAGTGTGAGAGTCTGCAGCCACCCACCTGGTATGAGTGTGAGAGTCTGCAGCCGCCCACCTGGTATAAGGAGTGTGAGAGTCTGCAGCCACCCACCTGGTATAACGAGTGTGAGAGTCTGCAGCCGCCCACCTGGTATAACGAGTGTGAGAGTCTGCAGCCGCCCACCTGGTATAACGAGTGTGAGAGTCTGCAGCCGCCCACCTGGTAAAACGAGTCTATTCACTCTACATTATAGGAAAACTGCCTCCCTGGACGATCATCCCTCTATCAATTCACATTTGGGCCATTTACTATCAGAACACTGCTGTCCTGGACATTCACCCCACTATCTATTCCCTTTTAACGAAAGGAAAACTGATATCATGGACAACCACCTTTTATCTATCCCCTTTCTGTCTATTCACTGTTTACTGTAGGAATACTGATATCCGGAACAATCACCTTCGATCTATTCACTGTTTACTGTAGGAATACTGATATCCGGGACAATCACCGTCGATCTATTCACTGTTTACTGTAGGAATACTGATATCCGGGACAATCACCGTCGATCTATTCACTGTTTACTGTAGGAATACTGCCATCCTGGACAGGTGTATAGTCGTTTACAGAATACTTGCTACTTCACTACCCAACTGGCCACAAAGATAAACGTTTCTTCAGCTGATGTTGTCTCCAGGAATACCCGGTTTCTCTTACCGTGTTCCGGGGCCAGATTGCAGTGCAGTTCGGCGTCGTTCCCAATGTAGTAGGTGATGTTGAGTTGGGGAGCGTCTACATTCGGGATTTGGGCAATACCATATGACGAATATACTTGTATCAACATGTATTGTGTTTTGTATTAGAATACTTACTCGGGGTAAAAGTGACCATGATCATCTTCAGGTTGAATTTTGCTTTTTAAATTATTTGATTTATGAATCTCAGACACAAAATTCACAAATGTTTGGGCATCGATGTTGAAGTGATTGTAGACAACAAACTTTTACAACTACTACTACTACTGCTACTACTACTACTACCACTTCTACTACTACAACCACAACCACTACCACTACCACTACCACGACCACGACCACTACCATGACCACGACCACTACTACTACAACCACAACCACTCCCACTAACACCACCACTACCACTACCACGACCACGACCACTACTACCACCACCACCACTGCTACAACCATTACCACTACTAGTACCACGACCACTACCACAACCACTACTACTACCACAACCACAACCACTACCTCTACCACAACACTACACTAGTACTACAACTACCACAACCACAACCACTTCTACTACCACAACCATTACCACAACCACTACTACTACTACAGCCACAGCCACAACTACTACTACCACACAGCTAGTGCAACTACCACTACTACTACTAGTACCACTACTCCTACTACTACTCCTAATACTACCACTACTACTACCACAATCAGTACAACTATCCCTGCTACTGGTGTAAACAACAAACCAACCAACCAACCCAGACAAAATGTATCCGTATACATGTATCCTGTCACATTACTGCTGCAATCCTCCAGGTTTGTTTGTTTGTTGTTTAACGCCACACTCAGCAATATTCCAGGTATATAACGGCGGTCTGTAAATAATCGAGTCTGGACCAGACAATCCAGTGATAATAATATCATGAGCATCGATCCACGCAATTGGGATCGATGACATGCATCAAATAAGTCAGCGAGCCTGACCACCCGATCCCGTTAGTCCTCACTTACACAAAGCAGAGTCGTCTTTTACGGCAGGCATGGGATGCTGAAGACCTATTCTACCCCGGATCTTCTCGGGTCATATAATCCTCCTGGTGACTTGATGGAGCTCTAATTGGCATATCCATCTAACCTGACACACACTCTCACTAGGGCCGTTTCGTAAACAATCCAAACTATAGACTATAGACTTGGTGCAAAATGTATAAGAAACGGATGTAAGCGTATTATTTTCTACACGTATTAAGAGTATTGTATTTTTTCTCCCTCGCTGATTGGTTCCTCTTATTATAACATTTATCATATAACATTTATCATTTATCATATAACATTTATCATCCAAAACTGGCTCCCACAGGGGATAATGCTTGCGTGATATCAAGCGATAACTACATTGTAGATATCGCTGCAATGAAATTGCATCACAATGCTTTGAAGACCATTGCGACGTCATTGTTAACATGACGTCACAATGAAATGACATCACTAATGGCTCTGCTATTGAAGCTGTTAGCAGTATTATTGTTGACAAACTGAAAAAGTTGGAAGAATGATGTTGGATGATAAATAAAATCTCACCCTCGTGTCTTTTGATATCAAATATATCAACGCTTGTTAAAAGTGGAAAAAACTCCTTGGCAAGCCTCGGCGTTTTTCCACTTTTATCAACTCGTGTCGATATATTTGATATCAAAAGACACTCGAGTGAGATTCTCTATATCTATTATATGGTCTCTGTTAGTAATATAACACATAGCCTACATAACTGGTGTCTCCATTTACGACGTTTCATTATTCATATTCATAACCAAGGCTACATAATAGTAGCATTTGGATTTAGGGCAAACACACGAGCTGCGATGATTATTGCGGCTCATATATCTGCTCGCCAGGAATCTGGAGGGTGTACCGTAACTATATATGAACTAAGACAGTCGAAGCAGGGCTGCTGCATTGAACTTGGCTCTGTCTTAGCGCAAATGCCGCTCCAACGTGGAAAGCTATTAAGGGGAGGTAACTTCCTGAACAGGAAATAAACATTATCGCGGGTGGCAGTATCACAACAAGGTTGCCTGACATGGATTCCGACGTTGACGATGATGTGCAGTCGGACGGCGAAGATTGGAGCCGACCTGTTGCCGAAGTTGGAACAGTAATTCAGCCGTCCGTTCTCAATAAGTCGAATACACAATGTAAGCAACGTTAAGAAAATCCTGTGTCCCTGTGGGGGCGCCAGAAGCAGGATAGTGATATTATTGAAACACTGGACACGGGATCCATAGAAATAGACTATGTATAAAAAGGTCCTATATATCAGTAATATCACTATCCAGCTTCAGGGGGTATTTCTTTGTCACAGTGGAAACGCATTCTGTTGTCTGTAGTCGTATGTCATTAACACGTTTCCAAATTGAAATCAAGATATTCCAGTAGATCTAAATCGTATCAGTAGATGAAATGGTTACTTTCAGCTTCCAAACACCATATAGATCAGTGCAGCAGTGTCCCTCTCTCAGATATGTGGCAGTGCAGCCTGTAGCAGATTGTAGCCTAATCTAACCCAGACTATTGATAAACAAGCTTTAGAGTGAGTGAGTGAGTATGGTTTTACAAAACTAACTTACAGTTTTAGTCCACTAGTCCTTATAATTATAACATATAGCAAAACCCTTAAAAAGGGTAAATTTCTACTAGTCCTTATGATACCCTAACTATTGGCCAGTTTGGCAAGGACTACAGGACTAGTGTCAATTTCTAACACTGTTTTACGCCACTTTTAGCAATATCACAGCGGGAACACCAGAAAAATCACTACACTACTATGAATCTGTGTCATAATCCAACTGGTGGAAGGTTTTCTCATGCATGTGTCAATTTGCTGGGGTGCATTGATGAATACACATGCATTCCACATGCACCACATCACACTCTACAGCAGCCGATTCCCCACATGAATAAAGACTACAATGTGTGAAGCTCATTCTGGTATCCTCTGCCGTGTTATTGCAGGGGTATAGCTAAAAGCGGCACTGAAACTTACTCACTCACTCCTCCACAACAGCTGACTGTTCAATGGAAATTGTTTCTTCTGCTGCATGTGCAACGCCAACTGTCACAACATGCGATGTTCAAACCAATCATTCATAAGCTTATTTAGCCATAGCCCACTGGCACTGACCAAAAACATCAAACACCAAGTTTGCTTGTAGGAAAATAAAAGTTCTATAAACAGGTGGATTTCAACTTTAACTCATTGACAGTTTATTCATCAATAATGTGTTTGATGCTAAGGCCTACAGCAGGATTAACAAAAAAAGCACTCGTCCTCTCGTATTGACGAGTGGCAGTATGTGTAGGGGGAGAAAGAAGTGAAGAAACACTCGCCCTACAGGGCAAGTACATATATTTCAATTATATCAGTTCATCTCTAATCAATTTTGATTAACTATGCGGGATAATTTCTAAACTAAGATATGTTTTCATTTCTTTTACGTTCGTTCTTAATGAAAACGAAATACATGTCGCTATATCATGAATAGACGGCATATTTGGCAACTGTCTGTTGAAATAACAAAAAGGGTGTTTGCACAGCAGGTCTATTCTTTGAAAGGAGGCAAGTGAAAATATTGTGGAACAAGTACAATATAATATCTACTTGTCCTTGAGGACAAGTTGGGTTTAAGTAATTTTTCGAGCTGCAGTTAATTTACCTCATACTGAATTAAAACTAGAAAGCTCAGGTACTTTAGGGAATACAATAATAGCCTGCATTGCAGCTTTTCAAAACTGACCGTCTGTCAGCAAAATAGACTGTCTCGGACTGTCAGGCAGGCGGGTATTTTCAACACTGTTTCATTGTATGCACTGTATGCACCTTAACCTGTGCAGGTGAGTTAGTTTTCTAAATCTGGTATATACATGCAGGTGCGTTCATGTTTAAATGTGGCATGTACATGCAGGTGAGTCCATGTTCTTAATCTGGCATGTTTGTGCAGGCGAGTCCATGTACTTAATCTGGCATGTTTGTGCAGGCGAGTCCATGTTCTTAATCTGGCATGTTTGTGCAGGCGGGTCCATGTACTTAATCTGGCATGTTTGTGCAGGCGAGTCCATGTTCTTTATCTGGCATGTTTGTGCAGGCGGGTCCATGTACTTAATCTGGCATGTTTGTGCAGGCGAGTCCATGTTGGTGTCTAAACTGGGTCACAAGAGAACCATCATCCACATCGATATTGACTGCTTCTACGCTCAGGTTGAAATGATTCGCAACCCTCAACTACGCCGCAAACCACTCGGTAAGTTAACACCTTCCCAAACAGCAGTGTATACATAGCTAGTTCTTGTCTCATAGGACATGAAACCACCTCCGTGGTCGAGTGGTAGAGCGTCCGCCCGGAGAGCGGAAGGATCAGGGTTCAATCCCCAGGCTGCATCATACCAAAATATGTTAACAGATGGTGCTTGTTGTTACCCTGCCTGGCACTCAGCATTTAGGGGTTAAAACCACATGGTATCTTATTTGGCTAGCAATTTAAAATCGGCATTAGTCCTGACTATATCAAGCAGCCACACATCCCAATTGCATGAAATGATGCTCATGATATCAATCACTGGATTGTCTGCTCCAGACTTGATTATTTACAGACCGCCGTCATATAGCTGGAATATTGCTTAGTGCGGTGTAAAACAACAAACCAACCAAACTAACCTAACCTCATATAACATTATTAAGTTGACACCTTCCTAAACACCTAGGTACGCTACAACGTTTTGTCTCACTCGGCTGTTGATTAATACTGAGTGGTTCATGGATTAGATGCCAGATTGTAATTCTAGGAAGGACACCTGCAGGTGTATGATGATATCATGGTTAACTGGATGGGTACAAGTTTGCTGTTATTGTTATTACATCTGTTCTTTTCATTTCTATTTGGGATTATTCACACCAATCGGAACAATTACCTATTTTACAGTGAATCTTTTGGAGCCAATTGATGCATCAATATAGGATATGTTTGTGCTTTCTTTCTTTCTTTGTTGTTTAACGCCACACTCAGCAATATTCCAGCTATATGACAGCGGTCTGTAAATAATCAAGTCTGGACCAGACAATCCAGTGATTGACATCATGAACATCGATCCCCGCAATTGGGATCGATGACATGCATCAACCAAGTCAGCGAGTCTGACCACCCGATCCCATCAGTCGCCTCTTACGACAATCATAGTCACCTTTTACGGCAAGCATGGGTTGCCAAAGACCTATTCTACCCCGGATCTTCGCGGGTCTGTTTGTGCTTAAGAATAGAAACTGGTTTAATTGTTTTCATCCCTCAATGCCAGGAATACAACAGAAGTACATCATCGTTACATGTAACTATGTGGCGAGGGAGAGAGGGCTGACGAAGCTGATGAGCATCAAGGACGCCAGGGAGACATGTCCGGACCTCGTTCTGGTCAACGGCGAAGACCTCACCCACTACAGAGAGATGTCCTACAAGATTTCAGGTACTGTAGACTTCTTCTTTGGGGGTGAGGCTTTGTCTAATTGGCAAGCATAGCAAGATGGCTTCGAGTGGTTCAAACACCAGCTTGTTTTCCTATCTCAAATGTTTGTGATATAGGTTAATCTATCAGGTAATGATTACTCATATCACATAAAGAAAATGTCTCAACTGCACATATGGTATTTTACCTGTTGTCAAGGTAAGTGAACATATACAACAGACTGGCGATCAAAGTCTCTCATACCACATCAAAGACAATACTGCGACGAGATATTTTTGCGAGCTGCCGTGTTGAGATGACCCCTCGATTACCAAACAATAGACAGCTTCTCTCCGAAGCTAGTTAATCTGAGTTGGCCGGAAAGTTGACCGGAAGGGATTGCGACCAATTATCAAATACGATAATTGACTCAACTCAGTGTCATGACTGTGAGTTTGAACACTGACGCAATCAAACGAGGTTGGAAGAAGGCAGGATTACTGTGAGGTAACAGTGACACTAATTGGTCTGTTTACACTGTCATTTGTGATGTATTGTGTGACCATTCTGCATTCATTTGTTTTTTTATCTTATTGAGTAACTTGTGGTTCTGGTTGATGATTTCAACATTTGATGACGTGTTGCAATGAATAAAGTATGTATATATTATTTATACTTATTTTTGCATTTTTAATTTTTGCAATTGAGTCTTGTTCGCAAAACTCGCAATAAAAAAACAGTCGCAAAAAATTCCCTGTTTACAGTAAACAGCAATGTCAAAACTCAATTAATTACATGTAGCTGTTATATTTGCTGTAAATTGCTGACCATAGTGAAAACCATTCAGTCATTCTCTGGGTAACAAGTGTTAAATGCAAAACAAAGTTTTCATAACTTGCTTTAAGGATTTTTTTAAAGGAAAATATGTGTCAGTAGGTGGGGCAAAAAGAGGGTAAAAAATGCAATTCAATATTTTTCTTCAGTTTTCTGCTTCACCACAGGTTGGCTGATATACAAAAAATAGGAATGGTTTAGTATGGCAGGAGAGCCTGCAACACAGCTGTTGCTAGGAATGGTATAGTATGGCAGGAGAGCCTGCAACACAGCTGTTGCTAGGAATGGTTTAGTATGGCAGGAGAGCCTGCAACACAGCTGTTGCTAGGAATGGTTTAGTATGGCAGGAGAGCCTGCAACACAGCTGTTGCTAGGAATGGTTTAGTATGGCAGGAGAGCCTGCAATGCAGCTGTTGCTAGGAATGGTTTAGTATGGCAGGAGAGCCTGCAACACAGCTGTTGCTAGGAATGGTTTAGTATGGCAGGAGAGCCTGCAACACAGCTGTTGCTAGGAATGGTTTAGTGTGGCAGGAGAGCCTGCAACACAGCTGTTGCTAGGAATGGTTTAGTATGGCAGGAGAGCCTGCAACACAGCTGTTGCTAGGAATGGTTTAGTATGGCAGGAAAGCCTGCAACGCAGCTGTTGCTAGGAATGGTTTAGTATGGCAGGAGAGCCTGCAACACAGCTGTTGCTAGGAATGGTTTAGTATGGCAGGAGAGCCTGCAACACAGCTGTTGATTTAAGCAATGCAAACCTGACTAATCAAGTGGGAATACTGTTGTATGCATCCTATCTACTTCAGGATCAGCCACCTTTTTTTGACTCCCCATGTTTAATATATATGTATGTCAACTTCAGTGTGTCCTTATTTAGAACAAATATTTATAACATGTCATCAAAAGATGCAAATTCAATATGGTTTTGTTTTTTCCATTTCAACAAATTTATAGTCGGTAGATCTGTAAAGTAAAAAAAGTGTGGTCTTAGGCTTTAAAAAATAAAAGAATTGGTTCTCGGGCAATGACTTTTGAAAATTTAGTGCGGGCGGTTGTTGCTTGTTCAAACTAGCATGTTACCAAAAAAACAGTTGTGTACCATCAACCTGGGAAAGGGCTTCTCTGCATGAGCAAGCATACAAACTCCTATTGCCACCATGACCATGACACAAGATACACAGCAAAGCAGTGTGCATGTAAAGGGAAGTAACTGTGTGCTATATTGGATCCCATTGTTTTCAAATATTAGGATTTTTATATTTTTTTGGAAAATGGAAATATTAACAAAACATTCGGCAGACTTTCTGATGACTCTTAGTTTTGTTGGCCTTAAGAACCAGGTGGTTAGGCAGCACTGTCATGATTTATAGAATTCTAGAATCAAACAAAAAAAACCACAGTTATATTTTTCTATTGACCCAAGCTACATGTAATTGGTTACCAAAATCCCATGAACTATAAAAGTAAGAAGTGTAGCTTCAGAAATGAATGGTACATTCTCTGGCTTATGTCACACAACAGCAAATCTTCCACTGGTGACCTGTCACAGCTGCCATGCTGCAAGTTGTCAGGTCTCGTTGAAAATTCGAAAAGGTATTTTTTTGATTCAGAAGTTGTCAACTTTCCAAGTAACTTGTTTGGTAGGCATTACTTAGAAGTTGGCGGATGACAAGATAGACACAATTTTATGGATAACAACTTCTTTAATACTGTAAAAAGCGACGTTTCGGTATAGATCCTTATACCGTTGTCAACCTTGCTTGACAACGGTATAAGGATCTATACCGAAACGTCGCTTTTTACAGTATTAAAGAAGTTGTTATCCATAAAATTGTGTCTATCTTAACTTTCCAAGTAGTTATTTATTAATGGGTTATATTGAGTCTGTCAACAGTGTTTGTTATTTACAACATACTGCCAAGACTTGAAGTATCTGTCCAAGTATAAATGACTACCTCCATGTTGCTAAATTGCAGTATTGTCAGTAACTCAAGCATTATTTTCTGTAACTTGCTACCTTTTTCAGAATTTCTCCAAAAGTACACCCCAAAGGTGGAGAGACTGGGTTTTGATGAGAACTACCTGGACGTGAGTGACATGGTGGAGCAGCGACTGGCGCTCAACGATGACACACACCAAGCTGGCTTTGTGTACGGAGCTGAAACAGGGACTCAAGGTATTGACTGGCATCATATCAAGGCCACACTTATTACTTGGCAGAGTTTGTTTGACAAATAATGGGTCTGTGATAATGCTCCATTCACAGGTTTGAGAAAGGTTATGTCCTGCTGAATTCTGCAGCCAAAACAATAAAAATTCTGTGGTTATTATTTTATTAAATTTACAACAGATTTTCAGGAATTCTGAACAAAGTTCTTAAACTAGGTTTATTTTCTGAATGAAAGTGTTTGTGCAACAAATATAGCCATGATAAGTGCACTGACAGTCACAAGGTGAAACCGAAGACCTGTGCTTCCAGTAATCATAATACCTAAGTTGGATTCACATATTTATACCAGAATTTTGATTTTAACACAATCATAACGTTTAAATTGAAAAAAAACATGTATAGAATGTTACTAGAATAATAATTTGAAGTTATTTATGAACACAAATATACTTGACCTGCTAATTAACATAATGTCTTCAATATATTTGACCAATACTGCAGCACAAAAGGCTAAATTCTGTTCAAGTGATTTTTCTGCAAATACATTTCTGCATGAAGAAGACGATTCTGTGAAAATATCCCACTACTGATAAATCATGGAATCAAGCCAGGAACCCCTCAAACAAGAATCCCATTATCCCATTCAAACCACATGAAGCATAATAAAATCTCCCCTTCGTGAAGCATGCATCTGTGAGCTGTATTGTTAGACTGAGGCGTGCAATTGTGTTAAGTAATGGCTGATGTGATCTTGTCATTCCGATGTGATCTGTAATGGGATGTCCTCAGATCTGTGTGTACCGGTAGTGAGCACGAAGATTTGACCTAAATGAGATTGCATGAACTTGGGTTCAAATCCCAGATTGGCCTTGATCGTGATTCTTAATTCATCAGCACCACCATACTTGCGCATGTGGGTTTCACCCAAGTGGTACACATCTAAGAGCTGCATCACTTAGGCCTATCCTTCATCATCAAGCAGACACACAAGTGTACCACTAGGCTACAGAGGCGCTGATAAATCACAATGCTTTTAAGTATCTCTTTTTTTAAGAACTGTACGCCAGCAACCGACCTTTTACGCCTGTTTCCTAAGGTTCATGGAAAATATGTTTGAAACATAATAATGTTGATAAATGTTATTTTAAATTTCTTTTTTTCGATTTATAAGTTAGATAATACATTTCCCCTCAGGTTTTTATGATATTGAAAACTTTTATCCTAGGGATAAAATCTCGGGGCTGCCAGATGCTGGTTTTAGATATCATTAAAACCCTCAGACATGCTTTATAAAACTGAACTTCTGTTCAAACCCATTGTAACCCATCTCACTATGTGTGTCACCAGTGTCTACCTGCTCCTGTGGATGCCATCTCCGTCTGGCGGTGGGGTCTCGGATAGCGGCAGACATCCGGGAAGCTCTCCATGAGGAGCTGGGTATCACCTGCTGTGCTGGCATAGCTCACAACAAACTGCTGGCAAAACTCGTGGCAGGGACGCACAAGCCCAATCAACAGACCACCCTGTTCCCAAACAACACCTCCACGCTCCTCTCATCACTGCCAAAGGCAAGAAGTATACCAGGTATTCTCAACAACAGCATTGTCCGTCATGCATCGTGTGTCACAAACATATTCTGGGCCGCTCAGCGTTGTTCGTCGTGCATCATGCGTCACAAACATCTTCTGGGCCGCTCAGTGTTGTTCGTTGTGCATCATGCGTCACAAACATATTCTGGGCCGCTCAGCATTGTTCGTCCTGCATCTTGCGTCGCAAACATATTCTGGGCCGATCAGCGTTGTTTGTCATGCATCGTGCATCACAAACATATTCTGGGCCAATCAGCGTTGTTCGTTGTGCATCGTGCATCACAAAAATATTCTGGGCCGCTCAGCGTTGTTCGTCTTGCATCGTGCGTCGCACACATCTTCTGGGCCGCTCAGTGTTGTTCGTCATGCATCGTGCATCACAAACATATTCTGGGCCGTTCAGCGTTGTTAGTCATGCATCATGCATCACGAACATATTCTGGGCCGCTCAGCGTTGTTCGTCCTGCATCGTGCGTCGCAAACATATTCTGGACCGCTCAGCGTTGTCCATCGTCACAAATATTTTCTGGAACGCCATGGTTGCTTTGTGTCAGTGTTACTGTCAGTCTAATCTACATGTGAGTCAGTCAAGTATTTTTTAGCTCAGCTGACTGAATCAAGTGAGCTTATGTCATGGCAAGTTGTAAGTCAGAAGTCTGATCTCAATTAAAACATAGAAGCCATTATTTCTTTAGATAATTTTGGGGCCTTGTGGCTGTATTTTTGTTTCTTGGTTTGCATATTGGGGGTTGCGGGCAGTAGGAAAAGAAATGTCAGATTGATCTTTCTTTCTTTGTTGTTTACACTGCACTCATCAATATTCCAGCTATATGATAGCGGTTTGTAATTAATCGAGTCTGTCCAAGACAATCCAGTGATTGATATCATGAGCATCGATCCACATAATTGGGATACAATGTCATGCATCAACCAAGTCAGCAAGTTAGACCACACGATCCTGTTAGTCGCCCCTCCAACAAGCAAATTGATCTCTTACAACAAGCATGGGTTGCTGAAGACCCTGGTCTAACCCGAGTCTTCGATTCCTGACATGGGTACAATGTGTGAAGCCCATTTCTAGTGTACCCAGTCGAGATATTGCTGGAATATTGCTAAAAGCGGCGTAAAACCACACTCACTCACTCACTCACTCACTATCGAACTCACTATCGAACTCACTATCGAACTATCGAACTATCGAACTATCGAACTCACTCACTATCGAACTCAGTATCGAACTCAGTATCGAACTTGTGTTGGGCGTAAGGGGTGACTTTATTAGACTCAGGGACTTGGTTGATTGATGGTCATTGTACCCTGATGGTGTGGAGTGGTTAATTGCTCATTGTATCAATCGATGCATTGTATCATGTTGTATTGTCCAGACTTACTGCCTTCATTAGTTGGATTCTTGTTGTTTCTGTATTTGTTTATTGTTTAGCGCCGCACTCAGCAATATTCCAGCTATATGATGGCGGCCTGTAAATAAGTCAGGAAGCAACAATTCAGTGATTGATATTGTGACCAACTATGTCCACACCATCAAGAACAGGCACGATATCAATCTTATCAGCGAGGCTGACCACCCGATCCATTAGGACACCTCTTACGACCGGCATAGGTTGCTGGGAACATATTCTAATCCGGAATCCCACACACATCATCCTATGCATTGTTGCAGGAGTAGGCTGGAACACATCCAAGAAGTTGGCTGAAGCTGGCGTCCACGGCGTTATGGACTTACAGGAGTGTGACCTGGCCACTCTGACAGAGGAATGTGGCACTACAATGGCTGTCACCATCAAACAGCTGAGTCATGGAGTGGACGACTCCCCTGTAGTGCAGTACAGTCTCCCACAGGTTGGTAGTAGGAAGTCTTTGGGATAGGACAGATGGGAGATTTTCTTGCAGACAAATCAAGATCTTCTGCATAAGCTGCCTTTACTAATGTCAATGAATAAACATGTCCACTAATGTAGCCAGTTGTCCTGTATGAAGTAAATGCCTTAAATGAATTCATTTCTGTTTCAATCAAACAATCCAGATATGAAAGAGCTCTAGTTGTACCCTGGTTGCTGTGTAGAGTGTTGATTAATTAATCATAAACATGTTTTTGTCCTTTATATCAATACAAGTCATATGTTTTCCCCAGTGGCAAACATCTCGGGCACAATAAGCTGGCGCTCAGGTATTCTATTAAACATTGTGCCCAACCCCACATTACTTATGTCATTATCCTTTTCTAATCCATTAAGAACAAATTCAAATTTTGACAAGACGACAAGTTATCTGCAGCTGCATATTTCAATGGAAGTTGTTAATTATTAGTAAATATTTGAAGTTTGACATACAGCATGTTATTCTGTGAGTGGTTTTTTTTAATCAGACAATCAGTGATGAAGATTCCTTCAGAAAGTGCAACACCATGGCACAGACTCAGCAGAAGATTGACAACTTATTGTCCAGTCTCCTTAAGAGGTGAGTATCAGCTCAGTATGAGGCACTTAGCTACAGGGACATGGCAGGATCGGGTGGTCAGACTCACTGGCTTGGTCGATGCACGTCATCGTATCCCAATTGTGTAGATTGATGCTCATGGGTGATGCAGAAATCTATGATCATGGGTTTGAATTCCAGATCACTGATTATATTTCATGGTTTCTTGGCACCATACCCGTGCTTGTGGGTTTCACCATAGTTGTAAATGTCTGTGACATGCTTGCCTTTCACATCAAGGGGACACTCCAGGAAGAGCTCATCTGGTTGTTGATGACCAGTAGAGCTGATACGCTGGGATGGCATTCATTGATTCACCATTCTGTTATTGGTTTGGTTTCTGACAAATATTGAAGGATTTGTTCCTAAAACTGTTTATTGGCTAGTCCCATTTGAAGTCCTCAAATGTATTTATCGACAAGTCTTATAAATGTCAAATAACATGTACGTGGTATGTTACCTTTGCATTTTAATGCTGAATGAAAGTGAGGTTGGTTGCACACTGATTTCTGTGAATCATCTTTTCTTGGTTGAGGATAGCGTTGCGTAAAACATTCGTCTTACTTTCAGGGTGATTGACAGTGCTGTGGCACAGTCTTTTTCTTTTTAACCTGTTAAAGTTTAATTAGTACTGTGATTATGATCACTGCTCCTCTGTCACTAATAAGGGGTGACCGAGTAGCCTTGTGGTTAAAGCATTCACTCATCATGCTGAAAGGTCCATGTTTGATTCCCACATGGCTTCTATGTGTGGAGCCCATTTCTGGTGTCGCCATCCGTGATATAGCTGAAAGCACTCATTCAGTTACTCGCCAACTGTAGATTTGAACATTCTCACCAATGTCAGTGTGAAGGTATTAACACCGTATTCAATAACTCATTCATTCCATACCTGTGAAGATCCGGGGTAGAATAGGTCTTCAGCAACCCATGCTTGCCGTAAAAGGCGACTAACGGGATCAGGTGATCATGCTCGCTGACTTGGTTGATGCATGTCATCGTATCCCAATTGCGTGGATTGATGCTCAAAATGTCAATCACTGGACTGTCTGGTCGAGACTCGATTATTTACAGACCGCCGTCATATAGCTGGAAAATTGCCAAGTGCGGCGTTGATCAACAAACAAACAAATAACAACATAGGATGTCTTAGCAACAGTTTTTCATATAGTTGGAATATTGCTGAGTGCGGCGTTGAACAACAAAGAAACAACATATGATGTCTTCGCAACGGTTCATCATATAGCTGGAATATTGCTGAGTGCGGCTTTGAACAACAACATTCACTCCAATTTTCAGTTTGCCTTGTTCTGCTGTAGAAGGGGCGGTCAGGTAGCCTGGTGGTTTAAGCGTTCGCTCGTCACGCCGAATGTTTTCATTCTCAGTTCTGAAAGTTCCTGCCTGCCAAGGTTTTTTTCAGTAAAAGTAATCTCCGTCTCCGTCTCCGTACCCAATGTCTAGATGTTTGTGCTTTGTACTTGGAGTGTAGGCTGGTAGAGGATGGTCGGACTCCACACACGTTCAGGCTGACAGTGCGGAGAGCAGAGTATCAGAAGTACACCAAAAGAGAGAGCAAGCAATGTCCTGTGCCAGCACACGTCTTCCAGAAAGTGGGAAAGGGTCAGTTTAAAAACAGTTTCTTGTCTTATTCTTTAATCTCATATGCTATCATGACAGAACAGATCCCTTTGTCTGTTTGTCCTGAAAACTGACTACAAGACCACAATAAAGTAATCTTAAGGTTTCATTGATTAATCTACAATGATCCATTAACTGTTCATGTTTGGTGCAACACGAGGGTGCTATGAAGCCGAGTTTTTGTTTCAGACACACAATTCCATAACATCTGAAAAGTGAACGTTGTGCGAGAATTTGTTTTATTGAACAGCTTTTCAGAAACTGTGTGCAAACAAAATGCTGCCTAATACGTGAACGTCAAAAATATATATCAAATGGATTTGTATGCATATGTATCCGCGTGTTGCACCAAGCATGAGTGAGTGAGTTGGGTTTAACGCCGCTTTTAACAGTATTCCAGTTATATCACGGCGTGTCAGCTTAATGTGGGAGGAAAGCCCGAAGTGATGCAGGTCTTGGACCTTTACCACTTCGGTGAAACCCATGAGCACGGGTATGGTGCTGACAAACCTTGAAACATTATCGGGGCGAACCAGGATTCAAACCCACAATCATAGGGTTTATTGAAAGTTGTATACAAAATACATGTACTAATTAGGCAGATGTCGGATTACACAGTATACTGTATTTAGGAAAAGGCCCTTGGCCAGTGACGATGCTTGTATATACACAATGTATATACACAATGTGTACACTTTACATTATACATACATGTATATATATATATACTGTAAAACAGGAAATTAATGTGAGCAGAATATTAATGCGAAAAATGCGAGTGACGGAAGGTCGCATTAATTTTATGCGCATTAATTTTTCAAATAACAAAGTCACCTACACAAAGTGAAGTTGAGTAGTGGTCAGTTCACATCCTGTTTAGCAGCCCAGATTGGCGCCAGCCACAAATTATCCCATCAGTGTCCTTTACAAGCTTGTCAAGAGCAGACTTGAGCCAACGCGCATGAATGGGTTTCATGACACTAATCCGCAGGTCAACAGGAGTGTGAGGATTGTCACCTGATCGAAGATTTGATACACTGATCTGTTTTCTACTTCTTTAAATCAAAGCGCGGAACGTATATACTAGTACCAACAGACTGTCAACTAAAACAACACTAACACAATGATAGCTGCGGGGAAACCATTCTCACGCTTGGCCATCAAACGTACGGGCAATTAGCTTAAATAATATTAAAATAAGGAAGGAATCTCACACTGAAAAAACATGGACAGGGGATTTAATGTGCACAGTTATTTTATTTACTACTCTACTCACAGTTCCTGCTCAAAACGTCATTTGAAACAAACGAAGCATTTTCAGGTAAGGCTTCTATTTACGTAGGTTACATTAATTAAAATAACACAGAACATAAATCCGCATAATTTTTTAGGAAAGGGTATGGGCACTCGCATTTTTAAAATGCGCATTTATGTCTAAAATCAAGAGCTCGCATTATTTTCATGTCGCATTAAATTCCTGTTTTACAGTATACTGTAAATCTTGATATTAACGCGAGCGTGAATTAAATGCGAAAAATGCGAGTGGTCTTTGCTCGCATTTTTAAACATCGCATTTATATCAACAATAAGACATTTTGGATAGCAAAAATACCAACTTAGACATGTATTCCACACCACTGTTTATTGAGCAGCACTTGTATATAAAGTATACAAACAATGTCATTCAAACACTAATTACGTCCTGTGAATTGTCACTGCTGGGGTCAAGACAAGAGTTCTACTCACTTATGTCATCACTGATCACACCTGCAAGTCCAGACAGATGCCACCCTTTGTTCTTTGCGACTGCGTCAAAGGCCGACACGAGTCAGCACGCATGTATTGTTTTTGCGGAAGTACTTTACTCAGCGCTAATAAGCGGTGCTATTTGGTGTGTGATTGGATTAATGTGAGGATTCTAAACCTGACTGAAGACATCTTTAGATAGAAATCCACTGATGCTTGAGAGGAGGGGGTGTCGCATTCATATTGAGTCGCATTTTTGGCTAGGGTCTAGTGGTCGCATTCTTTTGGAGACTCATTAATTTCACGATTTACAGTATACTGTAAATCATGAAATTAATGCGAGCATGAATTAAGTGGGAAAAATGCGAGTGCTCTTTGCTCGCATTAATAAAAATCACATTTATATCAACAATAAGACATTTTGGTTTGCAGAAACACCAACTTAGACATACGCTAAAAACAAACAACTATGTATTCCACATTACTGTTTATTGAGCAGCACTTGTAACAAGTATATAAACAATGTCATTCAAGCACTGATTACATCCTGTGAATTGTCACTGCTGGGATCAAGACAAGAGCTCTACTCACTTATGTCATCACTGATCACACCTGCAAGTCCAGAGAGACGCCACCCACACAACACAGTGTCTTTGTTCTTTGCGACTGCGTCAAAGGCCTACACGAGCCAGCACGCATGTATTGTTTTAGCGAAGTACTATACTCAGCGCTAATAAGCAGTGCTATTTGGTGTGTGTTTGGTGTGTGATTTGATTAATGTTAGGTTGGATTGAGGTGAGGATTCTCCTGTAAACCTGACAGAGGACATTTTGTTTAGATATGAATCCACTGATGCTTGAGAGGAGGGGGTGTCGCATTCATATTGAGTCGCATTTTTGGCTAGGGGCCAGCGGTCACATTCTTTTGGAGATGCATTAATTTCACGTTTTACAGTATATGTGTGTGTGTGACGTCAGACGATGAGGAATGACGTAATACATTGTGCACCTCAGCATGCAGTTATCATAAACACAGCGGAAAAAGCCGATAAAACTCGAAATGTTTTGCAAATTGCAGCACTATCTGGCGTTCTTTATTGTCAACGTCCTTTCGTGCTCACTGGCGTTCTTTATTGTAAACGTCCTTTCGTGCTCACTGACATTCTAAATTGTAAACGTCCTTTCATGCTCACTGACGTTCTTTCGTACACATTGTTCTTTCTTTTCTTATGACGAATACCTTTGTTGACCAGGTTAAAATATTTTTTTGTCATCATTGCAGGTGATGTCTCGTTTGCCCATGAGTTCCTGAGAAAAACATCTATGTCTCTGTTTGAGAAAATTATCAATGTGAAACAACCTTTCCATCTCACTTTGATCAATGTAGCCTTTGCAAAACTGCAGCAAAAATCCAAAAGTGACATCAGTAGCTTTTTCCAACTCCCTCGAGGACATGAGAGGGTGGGTGTAGAGAGGGAGGTACCATCCCAGATGGATGTGGATGAGGAACTCTCACCGGGACCTGTGAAGAACAAGATCAGTGAACACTCTTCAAGGGAGAGTAGTACACTGAATACAGAGATTTGTCATTTGAATGATCAATATGTTGGTCTAGCTGGAAAGAGTTTGGAAAGCCCAGTTATGTCAGATAATGATACTAACATATCACTGAATCAGTCAGATCAACTTAATGCTCTAGTCAAAGATGCTAACAGTTTGTCACCACACGTGAAATCTGACAAGGGTAAAATCGGTTTCTTCAAGAGAAAGGGGACTTCAAAAATGGATGGATTTTACAAAGCTTCAGATCTGTTACCTTTGAATACATTTGAAAGTAATGAAAGGCCAGGAATACTGTCCACAAGGGAAAAGCATTTTAAGGAACTCAGTTCAACTTCTGATTCTAAGGAAGAAACTCATTGTAGTAAGGCTGATGTTCATAGTGGAGAAATCTCATCTCTATCAAGCACCACTGCCTATGAGGACCATGGCCTTTTTCCACCCCCAATGGACCAGACTGTGGGTCGTACTGCATCACTTCCTGATGGTATTGATGCAGACGTGTTTCATCAGCTGCCACCAGACATGCAACAGGATATCCTAGCTGACTGTCGATCAACAAGGTCAGGACTTTACACATCAGATCACTCCACTGGACAAGAAAGAGGAAGAAGACAAATGAAAAGAAGACAAAATAACTCATTACGACCATCTGGATCTGTTAGCTTACCTATGTCTGACATTGCCAGGGATGAGTGTTCCAATGGGTTAAGAACTCCTGAAAAAGGAGCTATTGATTCCACTGATAATGTCAGCCCATTCAAGAAGAAAAAGAGGCTGTTCAGTCCAAGTAAGTCTTGGGCCACTGCTTTGACAGAAGCTGATGATAATAATAACATGTTTACTGATTCAGAGAACATGAGTAAGGCAGACTGTGCTGCTGCTGCTGCTGCTGCTGCTGATGATGATGATGATGATGATGATTATGATGACAATATGCTCATACCAACATGTAACAATAGTGATCAGGTTGCCAGTGGAAAGGTCAGTGAACGGAATATTTGTCCGGGATCATCATCAGTCATTCTGCCATGGATTGATAGGTTTGATTGTGAAAGCACTGTGGATAAGGTAAGTCATGCAGCTGGTGATTCATTATTCAGCAACAGTCACAATTCAGCAGATTTCATTGAAAGTAGAAAGTCAAAGATTCATGTGACAATACGCAAATATTCCTCAGCAGCATCAACATCAACACAACCACCACCAACTACACCATCGGCAGCAACAATTAAATCAGCTTCAACAACAAAACCTTCAGCATCAACAAAACCTTCAGCACCTGCAAGACAATTGGTATCAACAGCACTGCAAAAGTGCATAACAGCAGCAGAATCAACGACACCTTTATCAGCATCTTCTTGTCACAGTCGAGGAACATTGGTTGCAGAAGCTGGAGGAGACACCAGTACATCCGAGCCTGTGTTCAAGATGATGACGGGTCCAGCTCCTTCTGTACCACCCAATACAGATCCTGAAGTGTTCCGATCACTCCCCATTGAGATCCAAGCAGAGTTGGCTCTTCAGTGGGAATTCAAAAATATGAGAAGTACCACCTCACACATGGGCAGAATTAGAGAATCAAAGAAGAAAAGTCCAAAGAGTTCCAAGAACACAATGCCAAAGTCCACAACATTGTTTAGAAGTGGAAATAAAAAATGATTTATTATCAATCTCTTCTCTTTTGATCCTGTTTATCATTAAGTCTTTGAAAGGCATTTAGAAGTGATACACATAAGGAAGACAATTTATGGACCAGACAATCCAGAGATTGACATCATGAGCATGACTTGGTTGATGCATGTCATCGATCCCAAATGCGTGGATCGATGCTCATGATATTAATATCAGGACTCGATTATTTACAGACCGCCATCATAAAGCTGGAATATTGCTGAGTGTGGAGTTCAACAACATTCCAGCCAACCAACCAACCAACCACATAGGCTTGACCCGAGTGGACCCGAGTGCTGGTGGCTTGTTTTCTCAAGAATCGGTTTCTTGCAGTTCACCATCAGATAGCCAGCCTACTGCTGCGTACAACATCACTCACACTTCGTTACATGTCACTGGGCTTTACCATGTAGGGGCGGTCGGGTAGCCTAGTGGTTAAAGCGTTTGCTCGTCATGCCAAAGACCCGCGTTCGATTCCCGACATGGGTACAATGTGTGAAGCCCATTTCTGGTGTCCCCCGCCGTGATATTGCTGGAATATTACTAAAAGCAGCGTAAAACCATACTCACTCACTCGCTTTACCATGCATCTTATGGTACTTGCAATATACGAACAAAAACAGTTAATACGTTAATGTATCGGTTTTATTCCCATTGAAGTACAGAAAAATCCTAATATGACACCATCTGTGTTTTCCGGGAGTTTATCCTTATCAACATACTCGTATGTTGGCTATTCCATGTTTTGAATCATTTGGACAATATGCTGTTAATGATTCACCATTTCTGGTATGAACGGGCACATGTTGAGCACTGTTAGGCTGAATCGTATTTCGATTAGTTGTGATAAAGCTATTCCAATAGACATGCTGAGCAGATAGATTGCTGCATCTGTACGACGGGTTGTGCTCGGAGCACCACCACTCCTGTAATTATCGACTGGTTTGATCAATGATTCGGTGTCAACAAAATTGTCAGAATTTATGAATTGTATGATAGATTTATATATAATTGGTATGGCAAACTGTCTGGCATAATGAAGTACGAGCTTCCCCTCGAGGTCCGGATAGTTGTTAAGAAAGTATGGGCTCAAACCGTTGGACATTGAGGCTGCAATCAATTCCATTTCGGTCATTGATGGACATTGTTCAAAGTACACAAACACAATCAGTGTCAAGAGACTATTGCCGTCACCGGTTATGCCTCTATGCGTGTGCTTAAACCATCCACGGATTACAAAGTCAGATACTGTACTTACGTTGTAAATACTAGTGCGGACGTCATGAATGTTCAATACCTCAGGGTCAAGTATAGGAACTTGTTCTCCAGGTACAAAACATAAAATGATCTCTACTGTGAATGGTATCATGTTAACTGTCTTACCTTCCCCCTCTATCTTAATAGGACATGTGCTGGTAATAACATCCCCTAATTCACAGACACTCAGAGTGGACGTAAGTGGACGCATGTTTAGTGATGTGAAACCCAACCCCCATGCCTTCATGTCTTGATTCCATATCAAAATACTCATGTCAAACTGATTATGAAAGAATAAGTCCTTTCTCTGATGGTCGACTTCTATCGTGTCAGTGCAAACCCCTGGTGGTGTCAGGTCGTTGTTACACTGGTAGCAATGGATGTTGGCGTAAATCTTCAGCGGCTGTGATACAGGTCTGATGTAGGAAGTGTAGGCTAAACATTCCTGTGCGAGTTCAGTAGAACTGGTGTTGGGACATGACTGTATGGCTCCCATCACACAAGGCCGTCCTCCAACATCTGTGGGTCTCTCTACTCTGATCTCGCATAGGCCAGCTCTTATCCGGGCAACCAATGTATCAAAGACGGCGGGAAAGACTGCACATAACACTCGGGCCTCCCATCCTCTCGGGGATTTCGCACCATTGCATACTGCACAGAAGATGTTCCGATAATTCAAGCCTGAAATCGAAAATTTACGGTAATAAATTACAACCAATCCATGTCATTTAATTGGCTAGCCAGGCGAATCGTATCGTTGAATTTAAGTATTAACAATTAAATATGCCTGTTACGTTATTATTGTTGACTTAAATATTTATAAGAATTATAGAAGTATAAGATATATGGTTGAACAAATTCTTTATTACAATTAGGAGCGACGTTTCGGTTTGGGTTCTAACACCGTTATCAAGCAAGTGATGTACAGAGTATGGTTGATAGAGTAGATTTAAGATGTACTTGTAGTTACACTAGAGTGGAGAAGCTTGTTATGTACACAAAAGGGTAAACTTATTGACCGGTGAAGTCAATAACATCAGTAATATAAACACAAGGGTGAAGCCAGTCATATAAACAAAAGGATTATGACAGATTGGGGACTTTGAGTTGAGTTGATGGTACGCCGGGGGTATGTAATAGACTTGGTCACGGTTGATTGATGGCTTCATGGAGTTTTTTTTTCATTTTGAAGTTTTTGAGGTTGGTGGTGAGGGCTTGATTTTCTCCCACTGCATGCTGTGGCTGGGGTTATCACGGATATGATCTGATAGACCTGACTTAGAGTCATGTTTGGAGACTGAGAAACTTCACATGCTTGTTGCCACATAATGTTGTACAAGAGGTTCAAATATGAAACTAGCGAGGACGCCATCAGATGGATCCCTCATGACCCTATGATATCCATCAGATATTGATCCCATCCACGTCAACACAGACGTCAACACAACTGTTTTTAATTACAATAGTGCACGTAACAGCTCCAGCACAACTCTGAGAGGACCATGGATGAGCGAGCCACAGAGGAGCTGACAGTATTAGGTCCGAGGACTCCAGTGTGATGACAACCCCGGGAACTCATAGCTATAGGGGTATAGAGACGGTACTTCTGATTTAACCCAAGCAAAGGCACACGACTGTGAGAGGCAATGTGATCACCATTCAAGCACCCGTTTATATAACAAAAACATGTTGCCATGAACACTAAAGAGGATGTGAGAGGTTCCCTCCATCCCTCCATCCCTCCCTCACTCACTCATTCACTCACTCTAGACGGAGTATGCTGTTCGGACCCGTGAAGATCCGGGGTAAAATAGGACTCCAGCAATCCATTCTTGCCGTAAAAGGCGACTATGATTATCGTAAGAGGCGACTAACGGGATCGGGTGGTCAGGCTTGCTGAATTTTTTGATAGATTCGATTCTTTATTACAGTATAAAGGCTAAAGACATTATAATTATCTGATGACATAAAACTTATAAACGCCAGTAATGAGGCTGATTTAAAGTGCTAAACAATGTACATACTTCTTAAGGTATCATACTGTTTACACACAAGTAATACATGATGTTCATCTTCAATAGATGAAATACCTTCCTTGAGAAAAAAAGGGCACAATCGCATTCAGTATTCAATATTATTATAACGTCCCGTTTCTATTGCAAGTCCATAATTACCACATCTAAATCGTGACATGGCTGTCTTGATAGATAAATGTAGATTATAGGATAGATACAATTCAACATTGAGTAATGACTTAAACTTCCTATAATAACATGTCTTTGAAGAACTACCTAGTTCTGCAACCCATGTTTGATGGAGATTATCAAACATTCTCTGCTTGAATGTTGAAATAAATGTATCAATATGACCCACATCCTGTGCAACCCAAACAAATCCAAATCCAAATTGAAACAGAATATGTTTTATATGTGTGACCCAATTTACTCTTCCACTCTCATCCTGTGATAACATCATGCTATAACATTGAAATGGTAATCTATTGTCCTTTGAATTAATAAGTTAAGTCCAATATTTAACTGTTCTTGTCATATAGATATACTGGAGAGGAATTCTTCCACATTCCCCTAGAACCATATTATTTGTAGTACTTTTACCAACTTTAAGTATCCATTTACATAACTTTATCTGTACACTTTCAACTCTCCTACGGTAATTCACACCCCATATCTCTGCACCATAACAAAGAATGGGTACAACTGTAGCATCAAATAGTTTAAACAAATCTTTACATGAATTACCAAATTTCCTGGAATATGTATAAATAGCCAATAAATCCTTTTGTGCTTGAGCGGTAAGTGAAAGATGTGCCTTACTCCAAACAAGTTTGGGTGTAAAAAACAGACCAAGATCTATATGACGATACAACATCAATCTGTTTTCCCATAAAATACCACTTCTCATATGCCCGCAAAGGGCCTCCATTACGAAAAACCATTATCTTTGTTTTATTCAAATTAACTTTCATACCCGTTACATTACAAAAGTGTTGCAAGGCATATATTTTTTTATGTAACTGTAAACACGAATCCGCCATAGATGACACATCGTCAGCAAACATCAAAACAAACATCTCTCTAAAGGAAGGTGAAACATAGACACCCCTGCCACCAGTTTCTTGCATGAAGTACATTAACTTGTTTATAAAAATAATAATAAACTGCGGGCTTAAGGTACATCCCTGCCTCGTACCAATGTTACACCTAAAATAGTTTGATAAACCACCAGAGAGTCTTACACAAGCACTTAAATTTGAATACATTGAAACTATTATCTTATAAAATTTGCCACTAACTCCTACTTCATTTAAGCTTTTTAACAAAACGTCATGTTTAATCGAATCAAAAGTCTTTGAAAAGTCTGTAAATAAACCATAAAATCTTCCATTTATTTCCTATGGGCTAATTTTTGGGCAATATATTGCAAACGGAAAATACTATCAATAGTGGAGCGATTAGCTCTGAAGCCAAACTGTGCTTCATTAATGACATTATGTTCGTCACACCAAAGCTGCAGTCTGGAGTTAAGAGTAGAGAAAAACACTTAACAAATAATATCTATCAAGGAGATTCCACGATAATTATCAATACAGTGTTTATCTCCTGACTTTAATAAAGGACATATTATACTTTTCCCCATTCTTTAGGGAATTCACCATTATCAAATATGTTGTTAAACAATAAGACCAACACAGGTAGAATATAATCTGATGATGCTTTCAGAAATTCAGCAGCAAGGCCATCAGGACCAGGGGATTTATTTAATCCCAACTTATCAATATGAAACAAAACTTCCATCATAGTAAAAGGGCCATTTAAGTTAAATATGCCTGTCATCGTATCCCAATAGCATGGATCGATGCTCATGATGTCAATCACTGGATTGTATGGTCCAGACTTGATTATTTACAAACCGCCGTCATATAGATGGAATATTGCTGAGTGCGGCGTTAAGAAAACAAGCAAGAAAAACCAAACGTATATTGTGCGGTGTCAGGCAATAAATACTTACCCTTTTAATGCAAATTGTGTCAATGGCGAATATTAACGGTACGGTAGGACATGACTGCCCTTTTCGCGAACACCTGGTGTCATCACTGATTTTCAGTGGTCCATTCATCAAATGTTCAGAGTTAATTTGCCCTTTATATCAAATGGAATCTATTTCGGTTGGTAATCTAGATTGGTTATTTTCTTGCACTGATAATTTGATATATGTAGAAGAGTTCCAAGACAATGTTTGACCTGAAAGCCAGGCTTACCGGTTGCTTTATCCGTTACAGGGATGCGATCAACAGTGCTGGCAGCGTCCCAGCCATCGTTGTGGCACTTGTCTCGTATGGTTGCATTCGAGTAGCCTGGCGGACACCTGTTGATGAACCTCTCAAGGCCAGTGTCTGTCTCAAAACAGTCGCTGTTGCGGATCATGGAGAGAGGAAGGGGTTCTGACGACGGGTTACACACGTCCTGGAAGGATAAAAAAACAACCTTCATAAGTGGTGGATGGGGTGTTTGGATGGAGAGGTTGGGATGGTGGTGTGTCATGGGTATCCGCATCTGTACAATGAAGCCTAGATGGAAGAGCGTTAATCTGATGATTAACTCCAGAAGAGATCTTTAAGGATCCCTACATACACAAACAGAAAAATCAAGGATTCTTTATTGTGTTATAAGGTTAAAAATGCATCTCAAAAACATTAGAAAATGATAACAAATAAAACCATTATAACTGCAATGAGGAGTTGCATTAGATATAGTTTTTGACAGAACGTTTAGTTTGAAAGGAATCAATAGATAAAAGACATTTCACATTTATCACAAATGTATTCTGGACATTTCATAATTATCATTGGATTGGTTTCTGGCTATCGTCCATTAGTTAATGAAACAAATAGAGAGTTTCAAGGTATATTTCATTTGGAGCTTCCGGATGCGTGTTACAAAATCAATAGAGAGATGAGCAATATGGTACGTCGGCTTCTGTATTTTTCCGATTACGACACACATGAGTTCATGGTCAGATCTAACTTTTAACGAATCAAAATGAGGTATTGTGACATGTGACAAGGACAGGCCAGGCTCGAACACTATAAAATGATACCCTCAACATTAGGAGAGGAGAGCGCGGTTTGCAATCGATCGAGTGTAATCCCGATCGTTCTAAGTTTCCCCCAGCTAGTGACGAGTCTGGCCGGTCTGATCCTGTCGTGTATTGATAGATGGGCTGAGAGTAAGTAAAACTATGTGAGTATAAACTGGTGTTGCGTTTCTTTATTATGCGTGTGTGAATGCTGGTAGAGACAACTTGGAGTAAGTGTCGTCAGATCAATCACTCCTTGACGGAGCCGAGCCGCGGCGGACAAGGCGAGTGGCAATGTCATGGAGTAATTGACCACAAGGACCAGGAACGGCAATACATTTATTAACTGTATTAGGGTCGCACTGGACGCCCAAAGGCAGTTACGACACAATGTTTTGATAAAATTTGAATGTTGTTTCATGGCAGTTACGACAATTGCAATCGTTCGTGGGTATCTTCATTTTCACGTTCTTCAAACACTAAAAGAACAGCTTACCTTGAAGTCATGACAACAGTCTTCGTACGTCTGGCAATCATCATCACAGGAACACGGGATGTGGACGTCGTCACCACAACGGCCGCTGCAGGAGACGGCTGAGCTGTTACATGGGATGTCTTTAGGGGGACTTCTAGTTGTGACGTCCGGTGTCCCGAAACCGGGTGGAAAGAAGAACCCTATTTCCCCACTGCACACCCGTACATACAAACACAATAAGCCTATTGAAAAAGGGGTCAGGAGTCCGACCATCGTCTTTGGAAGCTTCTTGTCTAGTGATGTCTAACTACAGCGTTATTCATTTAAGTCAATGTTAAGTTGACACCACTAGCTGATTAATGCATTAGTTAAACCCGATCCGTTTCCTTTCTTATGAGAAAGCCCCATTAGCCAAACGTGAAAAGGGTAACAGGAGAGAGTTGTTTCCTGTTTGTACGGGTTGATGGTAAATAGAAACGAGTCTTTTGGCTTTATCACTTTTCTTGTCTTCTTGTTGGTGAGTAACGCGAGGAAGAGCCAATATCATATTCTCTTGAGTCAGTGAGTTTCATACGTTTATAGCAACATTCAAGCAATATCACGAAGGGGACACCAGAAATGGGCTTCACACATTGTTCCCATGTGGTAAATCGAAGACGGTTCTTCGGCGTGACGAGCGAACGCTTTAACCATTAGACTACCCCCACACACCACCCAGTATAGTGCCCCTCCGCCGAGATACCATGCGCAGTTTAACATTGATACCTTACTTACACATATCATCCTCACTGACAAGGTTACCAGTTCCTGTTACCTGTGCCAGGCAGGTAACCAGATGACCTCATTTTAACGCCTTTTGGTATGATGCAGCCAGGGGATCGAACACCGACCTTCCCATCCCGAAAGGAATGAGAGCCGGACTTCCAATATGATTCATGCTCTAATATGGGTCGGGTCTTAAGACAAACTGAGACGGGTCCGAGCTCTTAAGAGAGGAACACGGCATGGATATTGCCGTTGTTACTTATTCACATCGCCTTCATATTCATGGGCAATCTACGGGTTGTCAAGTTTGCGTCTATAAGCGACTTAACATATTGTCTGATTGAGGGAATCAAACTTGACGCCAACACACTATAGGTTCGAACCCTTTCTTGATGTCGCCGACCCTGTTGGCCAGAATGATGAAGGCAGCATATAACTCATTGCTACTTAAAAAAAGACGCACTTCTCGGTCTCTCGATCGAAAGTTAAGTATGTCAATATCAATCAACCAAAGTGATAAGCTGCTGCTACTGAGGAACAAAAGAGATTTTTTTCCCGTGACACGAAAGTAGAACAGTTATCGGCATCAGCGCGGCTATAACTGGGAGCCAGTTCTACCTTCCAACATTCTCCAATACTCCAGTCGGCTAAACCCGCCCGCAGCATCGCCAGATTGGACAGGGGGATATTCACTCATGTAGGCGTGTCTTTATCATTTCAAGAGATTGTAAAGCCTTAAGTGATTAAGACATGTATGTCCATTAGGTTACGACGCCTGGGCGTTCACACTTCACAGCACTAGCATCGTTCTTTGTATGCTTATGTTCATGTAACCCTTGCGTGAACATCTAGAGTTCATTATTAATGGCATCTAAATAACGTCCGCGTGTACCGAGCGATTGCATAACGTCTAGCAACAATCATATGGGCGGATTCAGTTAAAGGGTTTGTGTGAGACTTGCACGGTATACATGGTCCGAGGTCATATAATTATATACCCATCTATGTGTTATCGTTACGTTTCCGAAACATTACTTTAAATATACATGTGTATATTCAATATTGTTTGCACAATAATTAAATTTTCGTTGTGTTCATGGAAATTCCTGCATTCTGATTAGCTGAATTGATCACGTGTTATTGCATTCATTTCCTAATGAATGTAAAAAATTAAGACACGCCCACCGCGGCGCACTACTTTTATTACTGCGGAATGTCGGGGGATCCCAATATTACAGTCGAGGGAATTCCCTTTCTGCTCACGTGTATCGTCATGCACAGGACATTAAGCGACTTTCATGCATATTCATTGTCCAAACTACCCTTTGAAACCGAAGGCCGAGAATGAATGAAACAGCAAACGTGCAGGCTCGCTCGACTGTTTTTTCCCCGCTCGCCTCGGTTCTACTTTCATGTTTTCGGGTTTCATTTATAACTAGCATTTCTCCAACTGTGTTTTACCGTAATTAGGGAAGTAATGTTTGAATCACGCAGTTAATGACCGTGTAATTTGAAACAGCTGCCTTCTCTCGGACATATTTCTTCCGGTTCGTTCACCCGATCCAGGAAATATTACCTACTACTAGCACAGAGTTGTTAGCAACTATGACCTGCTACTAGTAGGTACAAAGACGGTCTCTACGTCTCTGGAGACTAACATTTACTGCTACTACTAGCTAACGGCAAAGAAGCATGTCTAAAATGATTTTCATTGGTCAACGAGTTCTACGTAGACGGTATGCAAACCGGGCTCTGTCTCAACAGAAAAAATAAAAAGATTACCGCAGAGCAACATCAGCCTGTAACCAGCTAGCTTTCTAGATGTAGAAGTAGCTTCGTAATGGTGAAATGCGCCATGCAAACCTTTCAACCACCATTCCAGTATGTTCCCAGTCACCTGAAATTACAAATAGAATCTACATTATCATGAAGAAAATTATACGGTAACCATTGATAATATTACATCACCAGCTGGTCACATGACCTCGTCATGCATTATCTTCCGCCGCCATTTTGTGTAAGGTCACGTCATTTGTCCCACTCAACCTAGGCCAAGTTTAGGCTAGTTAATTCTGTCTTTTCTCTAAATAGAGCACAACAAACGTGGGTGTTGTCATAACAATAAATACTCTTCAATATTCCTGCCATTGCCACAAATTGGAACGTAATGTCGTGCGTGTTTTCTACAGGGAGCCATGCATTCTTTGCGTCCCAAGAAACAACGTCGACGTGCACAGGCAAGGTCACGCATCATAAATGCCGTTTATTCTAAAAGAGAGAGAGTGCTTTACCGCTACAGTATGGCCTACTACCTATCGTATATTGTATTGGAGTTGTTGCCTGGTATCCAGCGCCCATGTTTTGACGCGAATCACTTGCATCCAAAGACGATTGGGTCACGTTCCTTTTCAGACTCGGTCGTTTCTTTAGTCCAACTGGTAGTAAATACTAGTAATTAGTACTTAGATCTACATATATTTACTATTATATGTCGTATTTTGTTTACATTTCAGCAGTATGCATCGGAGGCAGAAAAATTTATTCAAGCTCTGAAGTCCCAAACAACTGAAAATGTTCCAAAACACCATCACGTGACCCTCGTATTCTCAAAGTGCTGGTGAAAGTGTTTGTTTTGTAGGCCTAAATGTTTGTTGATAGTAGAGAGGCTGATTGATAGACTTTATAACAAGTCATGATCAACATTCCCCAACTGTTAGTTAATTACACTGGTCAGTCTACATCTGTATTGTTTCTTTGCAACCTCTGTCAACAAACTCAAATTTATCCATTCATACCTGAATAATTGTGTTGTCATAATTTAAGATTATGACTAGGCCTACAGCATCTAACTAACTGTAATTCTCTGATAACTAATTGTCTGAAGGCAAAATACCATTTTATTGATGAATATATATCCATTTAACTCATACAGTTTAGTGTAGGGTGTAATGTTGGAATGTTTTTGTTGACAGTAGCAGACACTACATCTGTCTATGAAAAATGGACAGAACTGAGAATACCTTATCATGAACCGTGGTGAACATTGCTGGCAACATCCTGTTTTAGTAAGTATAATTGAATCCCCCATTATAATGTCATTGTACATACAAAAAACGACATAGTGTTGTTTTTAAATAGTGATCTGTTTGGCAGTGTTTTATATTCTTCTTTTCACTTTGTCTACTGGCCTGCATAAGTCCTTGTCATTTTCCTGTTATTTCTGATACATTCCAAAATAAGATTTGTCTGTACAATACCAGTACACTAAAATAAGGACTAAGAGCAAATGTGCATATTTCTCAGTGTTTTAGTCAATTTGTGTTGTACCCAAATAGAGGGAATATTGTTACTGTAGTTCTTGTTATTGTCTTGGCAGCAAGTGCCACATGATCATGGGCACTACTTCAGCATGTTTAGTTATACACATTTACCAGTGAAGATCAGGGTCAGAATAGGTCTTCAGCAACCCATGCTTGCTTTAAGAGGCGACTGTCCTTGTCATAAGAGGCAACTAACGTGATTGAGGGGTCAGGCTCAGAGACCATGTTGATGCATGTCATCGTATCCCATTTGCATGGATTGATGCTCATGATGTCAATTACTGGATTGTCAGGTCCAGATTTGATTATTTACAGGCAGCTGTCAAAGCACGAATATTGCTTAGAACAGCATTAAACAACAAACAAACAAAGTTATACAGTTCAATTTTTTAAATAATCTTATACTCTAGTATTATAATGTGCTATTTTTATTGATTATTATGAATACAGACTGTTTGTATCAGTTTGTAAGAGACACAAACCAAGGTTCCCACAACTATCTGCACATGCTTTGTCATACCACAATTAATATGGTATCTTCAGGTTATGTATGTTTGTAAAAAGTGCTAGAAAGTGTCCACTTTAGTTGTTCAATCAGTATCTTCCTCACAACAGAGCTAATGTGCACTACCTTGTTGTGGTATTTTTTATTGAACACGTCTCTGTCTTTCTCAAGTTATGTTTGTGCAAGGTGCCTACCTGGTGTATTGATAATATTACCTGACAAGAGTCAAGTTTGCTCATCATATTCTGAAATAAGTGTCTCCCATCTAGTAGAAATGGGAAAAGTAATACAAGCGAGTCACCATCATTTTAACCGGTGCTAGGGATGTCAGCATAAAGTATATGTTTTTTTATTAATATTATACATATTAAAACTCTTTGCACCTGGATTGGAAGAATTGAACATTATAAAGAAAACTGCTATGTTCCTTTTCAGCTGACAGGCTGTTTGTGGAAGATGTAAAGTCAAGTGCTAGGGCCCCCTGTTTAGTTTAGAACTACATTGTAAATGTTGTGCACTAGACCATAGAGCCTGGTCACTACAGGGTTTACCCAAGCCTCTTAAAACTGGGGACAAATTCAATTTCTAATCTTAAAAATATCATCTTGATTCTCTAATCATACTGTTAAAATTATGTTTTAAGTACTTATCTACTCTCTGTGGAATTCCTCATCCAATTAAATAGTAATGTCCAATATTTTTTGTTATATTTGCAGATAACAAATTGCTATAGACTAATAAGGCAACTGCTATATTATATTCTAACCCTTTACTGAACTCACCAGACTCTGCACTGTATACTACTAAACACAATGAAGGATCAACGTCTTTTCATTTCGGAATTCAAGTAGCAAGCGGTAGACTGTTGTCAGGTACTTTAAAGTATACTATAATGCATGTACTAATTCTTTATACAGGAAACACATAACATGTTTTGCTTGAGCAATTCTTCTTGAAAAGACTCCAAATTTGTAACGCAAGTCTAGTAATATTGTGCTAGATGTAGTAAGTCCAATTAATAATAGTCAATATGACAACACTAAAATCCTGTTCGGGCTAGTTGACACATCATTTTGGGGCACAGACTGCTCATGTAATTCAATATAAGGTGACAATGTTGCACAAGGTTCTGTTGTGTGTATTTCAATAACTTGCACATTTATGAACTTTAACCTTAATGTAATCCTTGAATCCAGTGATGCTTTATTTTTACATTTCTTTGATAACCTACAATTGTTATGAAGCTGTCATTTTTTGTGTGGTTCCAGGAATAATGTCACCAGAAATGAATTCAATTTTGTTTTCTGAGTTTGAGCATGACCAACATGGCAGATATGTTTAAAATGT